ATCCACTAGCCAGCCAATCCAGGGCCAAATGGCCATGTCAGCAATCGTGTACCTCGATCGACAAGAACAATGACGGCTCCATGTACCCCAAAGCAACATAGCCTCCCCCAGGCGGCTCGAAGCTTCCCAAACTTATGACACCTCATGTCATCAAACGAAATGAAGTTTGCTTCGGACACTTCTCGAAACCATAGATGCTTGCCTGCTATATCGGGGACACACCTGTATGACCATGTATGAGCATGAAACCAAAGTATAGGCTAAAATTTGCTGAATTCATGACTTTAATGGTACATCTCAACATATCTCAGTCGTGTTCCTATTCTATCCAGGACTATATACCTATATATATATATATATCCAATTAGATAGTAGCCTAGTGGGTTCCTTTCCCAAGCAAGAGAACGCTTAATAGAGGGGTGGATCTGCTACCATATACCTATTGGTCGTTTTTCATTTGGGGTCTATATATCCCCTCTATAAATCAGCCCACCAAGGGCATAAGTGAGGCCATCGATGCACATTCGTCCAGCGACTGGTCACCGCAGACGTACTGCTTGCTTCCCTCGCCGAGGTGTTTGTCTAAGACGTCCAGCAGTCTCTTGGTCTCCATGGCATAGCGGTTGATGGCATACTCGATCCTGGGAGCGGAGTATGAACAGTTGAACTTCTGACCGAGCTGCTCGCGGAGCAGGGGGACAGACATGGCTTCGGATCGAGTGACTTGGCGCCGCACAAAGGGGGGAAGAAACAGATCGCAGTGGAGCTACTATATATATATATATATATGCCGCACAGCGTTACGAGTTCACATGAGTGAAAAGAAAGATACTACACCGGCATAGACCCCAGATAGCAGCTAACTCAAAAAGGGAAGCGGGGAAGCGCATCTTTTCCTCTGTGCCCAGCGAGCCCGTGAGGCAAGTGGGGAGACAAGGCAGCAGCGGCACAGTAGGGGCACAGCAGCCACACACAGCAGCGTCAAACCAAAACGGAATACAGGCACCCAGTCATTGAGAAGTAAGAACTCCTATAGCCTATAGCTATCGCTATCTGGGGGAAAAGGCATTTGTCAGACATATGACATAATCGCGTATGATTCTGTATGATGTAGAATGCCTTCCAAGATGGTGAAACGTCTCAACGTGTCGCAGCAAACAAGCGTCTTGACAGGCGCATAGTGATAGAAGTGTCCGAAACCACCACCAATGAAGGGCGCGCTGCCCATCTGCCACATGAGCCAGCTCTGGCACTCGGCACCTCAGGACCGGACGCCACTGGCACGAGTCCTCGTCCACACCTGGCGAAGCGTGAACTTTGGTTCGGTGGACATGGTGCCAGGGGCCGCAAAGTCCATGAAATCCTCGTTCTACGTAGTATCAAAAAGGTACTTTGAAGAGGGATGACTGGGATGACGACCCAAAAAGAGCTGCTGAAGGCACAAGACCGTTATAGAAACTCTACTGCAACAGAAGAGGTTTCTACTGCCCAAATGTATATCCTGCCATCTGAGGGTCATCTACTACCTTGAACATTCTTTAGCTACTGGGGAACAAATTGTTGCAGTGCCGATGGGGAAAGACCTGCGTTGGTGAGATTGCAGTGACTGAGTCGCTCGATGTGCAGGCCCACGCACCTCGAAAATTGGCCTCCAGTCCCTACACTTCTCTTTTAGGTTCCCACGAACTTCTGGCTCACCAAAACGAACCAAGTGCAAGTCATCATCGCTTTGGAGTGCTTTCTTGCATTTAGCCGCACCTGTCTTCAGGTGGTCTCAAATCATGAACCAAGAACTATGTGTCTTCTTCCAGGGCACGTGCGGGGTATTCCTTCGGGAAGAACTTCCCGTCTTTATCAAACTTGTCAGCCAAGTAGAGCATGATGGAGCCCGACTCGAAAACTCTCACCTTCGATTCACATGGCACACATGGCGGAGCAAAGACATGTTTTGATGGAATCTGGTGGATGTAACTCGGCGTCGCGTGGCAATAGCCACATCCCACCTCACGATTTTGAAGAAAATCGCGGTTCGTTTGTCAACACTCCAGACAATCTTGTCGGAGATCCCCGTCACATGATTCAGATAGTTTGGTCTAGTGGCATGATTCTAGCTTAGGGTGCGAGAGGTCCTGGGTTTAATTCCCAGAACAGCCCTAGTCCGACTCAAAATGTCAACTCTGAAAATAAGGTCCCAAACAAACAGAAAGGGTGTCTTTGAAATGTTACACTGGCCTCACTTTTCTATCTACAAGCCATTTTGGAGGTGATTGGTCACGTGACGGTCCCATGCTCTTGCTGTGCTTGGCACGTCCAAGAGCAGGCACGGAGCACTCAGCGTTCGGTCGCGGGGCTCCGGTCCCCCAGAGGCCGCGGAGCTCGGGTCCACGAACGGAGGTGTCTTCCCCCCCCCCCACCGGATCCCACCGGCTTGTCTTTGTCGGAGTAGTCCATCATCGCAGGGATCTTGGAGTTGGGGTTCACCGAATGGAAGCCTGAGGTAAACTGCACGCCGTTAATGGGGATGAGCCAGGCATCGTACTCGAAGTCGGGGAAGGTCTCCACCAACTCCTGCGGTTGGAAAAATGCTGGAAAAGACATGGAAAACCCTTAGTCGAGACTGTTTGAGATTTATGTCCACTTGATCTACTGGTGAAGATTTCATGAGGTGTCCTTCCTTGAGGCATGCTCCCATCTATTTGTGGCTGGACCGACACGAACCACGAGGCCATGCATGCGTGTTGTTGCATGAGAAGCCAAGGAGAAAAGAATCAAAAGCAGGGACCCAGGGACTCTTAGAAACCAACGACTCTTAGAGACTGTTCTGTCTATGTTGCAGGCACAAGATGTAGCCGTTCTGAACCACTAGACAGCAGGTTTTTTGGCAAACGGCTTCGGGATCTGGTGGTTTTCACGCTTCTCCTCCAGGAGGATGGTCACCTTGACCCCGTTCCTGGGCAGGGAGCATGAGCAGCTGTTGGCAATGTCGGGCTCGGGAAATGTTCACTGAGCAGAAACAAATGGACCTATGTAATTACAGAGAGGGAGGGAGGGAGGGAGGGAGGGAGAGGGAGGAGGGAGGGGGAGGGAGGGAGGAGGGAGGGAGGGAGCGAGCGAGAGAGACAGAGAGAGAGAGAGAGAGCGCGAGAGAGTTAAGATGGCTTATGTACATGGTGTCTTCTCTTTCCAGGTTGGTTCCTTGTCCCAAACGATACATACTGTGAGGTTTGGGGAGAATTTGTGCGGCAGAGCTTACTGAGCCCTCTGAGGATGCCACGGAGTTCCCATCGAATACAGCTGGATCTTGTGCTCGCCCTTCTCTAAGGGCTTGTCCTCTGCTGTCGTGCTGCTGCCAAACAAATTGTTGGATCCCCAAACTGAACAAGATGAGGACGAGTTTGGGGTGTCTGCGCTGCGCAGCTCCATGCAACGCGCGTCACGCAAAACAAGTTTTGGATCTCCGAAGTGACATCGCTTCTCCCGTCCTCGCCCCAGGCGCCGGCATAGGGCCGATTGGTGCCGCCGAAGGTGCCGCCCTGCTCCTTGTACTCCCAGACCTGGCGATGTTTACAGTTGAAAACCCGAAATGACATGATTTTAGATTTAATTCTAATAGATTCTTGTTACTACTAGTAAGGCACCTGTTACTACTAGCGTGGCACTTGTTCCTAATAGCTTCTTGTTACTACTAGTAAGGCACCTGTTACTACTAGCGCGGCACTTGTTACTACTAGCTATGAAAGAATGAAGTGACCCAGGAGGCGACCAACAAATGTGTGTTTGGTGTCTACCAAAGATCCTGTGCTTCATCGAAGGGTTTGGGGTGCTTGGTTTTTTCAACCCAGCCGATCCGGTGAGTCCAACAAATCGCCTCTGCCTCCAAAATTAGGGCCTCCCAGGAGCTGTCTTACGTTTTTAAAACGAGAAGCAACCAGCGCTGCCATCCGGGCCGCGCTTGGACCGCATAGAGTCGGCGATATAAAACGAGAAGCAACGTCCTTTCACGACCCGATTTTGGGGCGTTGCTGGTGGCCACCTCTGGTCCAAGAGTCTGACTCAGCCGGACCGGTCAGTGCGACAAAGCGATGCGATCGGGGCGACGGTCGCGGTCGGCACAATGGTTGGCACACCTGGGATCAGCAACCTTCTTCCCACTGGGCTCCATTTTTTGTGGACTTCACTGGGATCATGGTGGTGCAGAAATGCGGCCTCCTAGTTCTTCATCAGTTCACATGTCTGCACGATGTTCACCCAGCATCACTCAACGGCTCCATGTTCGGCTCACTCCAATTCCAATCCCGAAGGGCTATACAATATGTAGTTGTTTCGGAGCTTCCAACGTTTGGGTTTCCAGCAATGACCCCGGTTCTGCTACAAGCGCCTTTGGCACCACATAGTCCGCTGGCAATGACGGTTTCTCCTTTGCAACGCTTCTTGGACAAACACCGGCCCCATGTCCAGTTGCGGGCCACGAGAAAAGAAGTGCATTCGGCACAATCAAAGGTCTTGCCAGCCATCCAGGTTGGAGTAGGGTCTTTCCATGGTCGGAAGTTTCTTAGTGGTGGAACCAAGTGGGACACCCCCCAAAGAAACCTCGAACACATGACACAGACCGACTCGGCTCCTCTTGGTCAGCACGTTTGGTTCTTTGGAGTTCGAACTCATCCGACGCCCCCACCCCACCGGCCAGCAAAGCTCCTCTGCCATGGTCGCAAAAGTGACGAAGCTTGAGCTGTAAACTGCTACGTACTACAAAGAAAACCTCTTGTTCTTTAGCAACGCTGTCATAGACGTGCAGCAGAAACGATTGAACGTTGAAGACGATCAACTTGGAGGCTGCAGCAAACTTTCACAAAGGCAATGGACAACCATCTTCACGGATTTGTGCCTGTCCAAAGTCTTCCTCCAAACGCTTAAGGACAAAATCCCACATTGCCTATCTGCTCTGCTCATTGTCCAGAAACCCAAAGTCGCCCCCATCGACCGAAAGCCGAGCCCGCCACGTGGTCAAATGTGCCTGTGTAGCATGATCTCCGCAGGAAATGGATGGTTTCTTTGCACACGTGGCAAAACTCCTTCACTCTCAACCAGCGACCAAGACTACCACCTGAAGCAGTTCCTTGCCTTTGGCGTCGGCAAGTTCGGAGGGAAGCTCACAGCCCCTCGTCGGAGTCAACATTGCTCAAAAGCAACTAACAATGATCACTCTTTTGAAAAAAACATGCAAAAAGCTGCATGGCTAGCGGCAGCTTCCAGCAAGGTGTTTCACTGGGCAGAAACAGGAACTAGAGCACTTTCCACTGAGATTCGCACGTCCCAGCGACAGGGGAGAGACACCCTGCACAGAACAACACGCGGCTCCACAAGGAAAATGCTAGTGTGACTCTTATTTTCACACCATGCGAATCAGTCACCTCCTCTTCACCCAGATGTTTGCAGAGCAACAGAACGGCACCCCAAAAATACCCAGCCTGTCCCAGGATGGAGGCCGGCGAAGGGTAGGGCCTGAAAGAGAGGCCCGAAGCCAAGCAAGATGCCCTGGGGATTGGAATGGCCATCTCTGGGGCTTGCGGATGGGATGTTCCTCAATGGGGTTTAGGAACCCAGGGAAAAACGGACATCAACGGAAGGGTTTATCAGTGTATATGTGTGTGTGTGCTGGACATCAGTGTGTGTGTGGGTGCTGGAAAGGGGTGACAACTTTAACTGGGGATTCCAATTCATCTATCTGCGCCACAAGACTGTGACATTTGTTCTTGCACCGTCCGAGCTTGGGCAAAGCCAAATGCAGTCTATCGTCTGCCTTCTGACTGAAGTCTGAAGTGTGCCCAAAAACCACCCAGAGATGGCTGCAACTTGCCTAACTTTAAACTCCAAAGCCACTAATGCATGATGTCTTCGCAAAAAAATAACATCATCAATGCATCCCCAATACATCCCACCAAATCCCAAAATGGTCCGTTGAAGCAGTTTCCGTCATCGTTTCGTCCCCCAAACCGCCAATCACCTCCTGCGGCGTCCTGCCATGTTCTGCTCGTCTTGGTCTCGGCTTCCCGGCGAGCCAAAGGCGCCCACCTGGCGCTGGGTCCGTTCAACGGGCCGTGAATCCAAAGAAAGCAATAGGGGAGGTCCTCGAGGAAACTAGTTGGTCCTCCCAAACCGGAACAAAAAATAGATCTTAGATAATTAGAGAAACTCCTCCCTTGGTGGTCTCTATCTATCTATTGGAACTCTCTCATGTCCGTCGACGCACCTGGTTTCTTGAACTCAAACTCATTGGTTGAAACGACAGCGATCGCGGCAACTGTTTCGCAGCGATCCAAAGAGATGTAGGACATCCAGACCACGTAACTTGGATCGCTGCTAAAAACATGTATATACATACATAGCTTTGAAGGTGTGGGAAAGAAACGACCAAATGATGTAAACTTGTGAGACCTGAATGGACCCCTGTCCTAGCATCCAAAGCCTTTTCTGACATGAACATGTCTTCCCTGCCCTTTCTGATACTTTTCTCGTTTTCACGGGAGGAAGAAGAAATCGAGAGGTGGATCTATGACCGCTATGTCAAAATGGTGAGGTCAAGGGACGCAGTAGATCCTTCGCCCTTCATCCTTCATCGGTTGCCCATTTGGCAGTTCCGCCCATCCCACTCAGGCCTGACCATTATCTTGAGACAGCGTCTTTGGCCCGAGACGGTTGATGAGTTTGGTCCGCCGCTGGACCTCATCAACGGTCCACGGAAGTCGCTCTTGAAGTGGGAGGTTGGACAGCCGGTTCATGTGCTTTGTGAGTGCAAAAGTGGGACCCCCCAAAAAGTCCAGCCGGTGACCTAGCCGACCTAAGCTCATGAGGACACTCGCCAAGCCTGGGGTTGCCAAGAATGTCATGTCGTGCTTTGAGTAAACCGGAGTTGACCATATCTCAAGAGCTTGTGAGGAAGAGTGGTCTCCATCCGCTGCACGACTCGTCGCGCAAAAGACGAAGTTGACGGGATCTCTACTCCGCTCGGGCTGCCAAGTCACGTCCTCACTGGGGATAGACTCCCTCATGCCTTCCAGCCTGGCACATGCTCATCATCCTGTGTAAATTAACTTAAATTGTCGTGTTTTTGACATCAACTCCAAAATAAGTCTACAGTGATGATTTGAAAAGCGCGAAACAGAGACTTGTGTCCCACGAAACAAAGGTCATTGATTCATTGATCCAGCACATCCCGAAATCCATGCGCTGGAGTTGTAAACAGGGCCAATGACATGTGTGCTGGACGTCAGACAAACACAGCTCCAAGATCAAAAAGAACATGACCATCCAACCTGCTTAGTAGTACAGTGTTTGTTGCTTCCAATAGGTACGCCCACTTTGTTTATTGTGTTGGACACCCCAAGCACTATGCCTCTGCCGAAAGCACTCCGCAAATACACCACCAGCTCCGTGCCAGTTTCGGTTCGAGGGCGGCCTCTTCCACTCCCGTTCGGTCACCAAAAGCTCGCGTCCCAGCACCTGCTGACGTGCTTGACCCAGGCAACGTCGGAGCGGTGGTTGGGCCCGGCCACCGGGGTCGTGAGACCTCGTCGGTGGGCCCGAGGACTTTCAGAACTCTTTGGGGTGAAAGCAACTTTGAAACAGTTGAAAATTCAGGTGCTTCGGCACTCTAGTCTCTCAAAAAAAAGGAAAATAGAAACATACAGTATTCTTCAAGAATCTTAGAAGATTCGTCTATGCACCAGAATGGTACGTAGACCTATTCGGGTCAGAAATCACCCGCGAAGCGTCCGAGTCAACCCTCCGGTGGAGACAGCCGGCGTCTCGCTCCTTTTTCGCCCACGTGGCGCCGGCATGGAGGGTCTCCAGAAGCAGCAAGGTCTCTTCTGCGCGGGACTCCTGCAGCTTTCGGGCGCATGGGGACAAAACCAAACCAATGGGAAAATGCGACAGTTGCCCAAAATCGGAGGATTGGTTGTTCGCGATTAGTCTTTGGTCTTGGTTCTGGAGCCAGCCACACCCACAAAACATCACAAAACTGAAAACGATTTTCTCGCTGCCGCTACCCTCGTTCCACATGGTTGTAATATGACCAACAAAAAGCTCTTCTTTCGCCGCAAGCAGGAATTGGTCCGGACAACGCACGGACCGGAGCAACCCGCTTCGATCCGGATCCGGGGAACCCCGATCTTCCAAAGTGAAGGAGTTTGTCCTCCAAGTCCCAGATCACTGGTTCGAGATCCAGCAGGTTCACGTTCCTCGGATCAGGATGGTTATCCTCACTGTGCCTGGAGGTGCACTTGGGATGGAGCCAACCATGACCGGCCCGGTTCCACCATTGGTGAGGCCTTGAGTGGTGGAACCTGGAAGTTGCTGGTGGAACGTCCTTCTGAGTCAAACGATTCTTGTCGCTTTCCTGCCAAGATCTGCCAAGTGTGAAGCATGCCAAAAACCGGGATACCAAAAAAGAGCAGTGTCTTTTCAACTCTTCATTGAGAAATCCCGAAAGAGACACGCCCCCACTGCCGACCCAGTTTACGTGGCCAAGCTTCAGCACATCTCGCAAACCTTCACGGCCAGTGCCTGCCACCTGGAGTCGGGGACGCGTACAGAGCAAAACGCTCCGCGCCCTCTACGGCTGCTCCGGGCGCCAACAGCTGAGCTGTTGCTGTAATGGATGGCAGGAAACAGAGGTAAACTTCACCTGCCTTGAGGGGTACCTTGATGATGCCTCAGGAAGAATATCTCCAGTTGCCACCGGACTGCGCCTCTTCGAGTAGGGCCAAACTCCTTCGCCGCGCCGTGCGGCGCTTCGCCAGCTGCGCCAGCGTGCCGCCTCGGGAACAACTGTTCGCCATCGTCTCAGTCAACGGTACACGGTACACATGTTCTGTGCCTCCATCATCTAGCAATGAACCGCAAAATATCTATTGTGAAGAATGAAAAAAGGCCTGGGCAGCAATGCCAGGCCTTTAGGCCACAGGCCACAGCCTATACATCATGGGATTCAATCCTTCTCCAGAAAGTGCGGGAGCTGACCATGACTGAGTGAAGCACCACTCAACTGCTGGGGGTGCGAGGTACTTGCGCCAGATTCAAAACCCTCTTCCGCTTCCATGCTGAAACGTTGGAGTGACCTGCAATACTGAGGCCCCAAACCCAAAGCTCCGCCGCTCTCCCTGGCAGCCCAACACTGCTTTATTCAGGGCTCTCCCTTCTATGTCTTGTGTTTTGGAGCATGCAAGTCTGATCCAAAGATTCTAGTAGCTTCTTGTTCCTAGTAGTACGGCCAGGACCTAGTAGCGGCCTTGCTCCTAGTAGTGATGCCAGGAGCCCCGAACGTAGCGATGCCCTTGTTCCTAGGACTTCACGGTGCTCAGTCTGATCCAAAGACTGGGCGCTCGGTGTAGGTGGTCCGACGTCAGCCCCGTCCCTCGCTAGTGCCTTCGCTCGGACGCAGCTGGAGGATCAATCCTTGGCGGAAATCCGGGTGCTGCACGGGCAGTGAAGCCACAGGAACCCCGACATGAAGCCTTAAGAGCTCTTCTTCAAAACGGGTGCAGAACATCTCACTGGGTGAAGAGCAGAGAAATTCTCTTGAAAGACCCCAAGCTGGACAAGGGAAGAGTCAGGGTTGCAATGGATCCACAGGTGCTGGCCCTCACTTGATCTTTGCAAACCACTTTGCAAACCAACCACTACGACGGCTCCAAAAGGAATGAACCACATTTCTGAATCAAGCAGACAAACAACACCCTAAGCGCTCTCTAGACATGAACATCTCCGAAACTATCGGAGTATGTTCCACATAGCAACCACCATGGTAGAGCATCCTCTTCCAACTCCCTTTTCTGCAGTCCTCCCTTCGTTCCTGCAGGTCCGCGGTCCGAGCGACGGCAGGCCGTTCGCTCCGTTCGCTCCGTCTTTCGGTGAGGACACGAGGCTCGCCTTGGTGGGGCTTTTTGGAGATGGAAGGAAAAATGTCGTGAGTTGGTCCCAATGTCGTGATGCACAGGATGGGTTGCTCCCAATGCTGTTCTTGCTTCGTCTTCTCGAATCTCGCATTGCTGGATGAAACCCGGAGTCGGTGAAAACACTGGTGCTGAGGGAACAATTTGTACCAGGTTTGAGCTGCTTTGGTGCGAAGAAGCTGAATCTGTTGCCTTTCCTCCTGTCTTTCGCAATTCTCCGGGTTCCAAGACTCACGCTTGCTCTAGCAGCTCAGTCAAGGAGAGCGCGCCTGGAGCCACCTGCCATGAAAAGAAGGACTGGATGTTCACCAAAGACATCTGAACTGCAACAGTGACCGTTTGCTCTTCCCAGTCCAATTAGCATACACCGATCAGCAAAAAAAGGCCTTTATTTTTTTCCTCTTGCTATGAGCAGGCTTGTATGTCTTTCTCAATCTTCTGCCTGTTTTTCTTGTTTAAACCGTTCAAACAACATCTCAGACTAACGCATGCAAGGATGCACTCGCTGATAGGGCAGGTGGCACAACTGCTCCTGAACGAGAAAAATATTGATAGAAAAGAAAAGAGAGAGAAAAAAATAAAGGCGAGAGAGGGAGGGAGAGAGAGAGAGAGAGCGGGGAGCAGGGAGAAATTAAACTCTCTGTGAAAACATTTTTCTGTTTGGACCTTCACAGCAAAACCCAGTGCAAAATTTCTCTGTTGAATCTGTTGAAGCCAAACAAAACTTGGCAATTCTACATTGTGGACACAACAAAGATCTACCATGTCAACCATAGTTTCACGAGATCCCTTTGCCTACCAACGAAAAAAACATCGATGTAACAGGGGTTGGATCGAGCCAAACAAACTTAGACACAGACTCCAATGCCTGGAAGCCCTGAAGAAATTCTTCCGATTGCACGGAAGTGGCAACACCTCAATCAACACCATCATCGGTACAAATCATCCCCAACAACCATCCCCACCCACCACAACTCCTTCGAAAGCCGTGTTCGGCCCATTTGCTCCAAAAGGCTCATCACCGCGCCCGCGCCGGAAGACCTGTGCCTCCTGCTACAGAATCACAACTGATCTCCGGCATCATCCGGATTTTTCCAGAGAAGGATCAGCACCCAAGGGGCCCGATACAAGCTTGGAAGCCTCATCAACCGATCTGTTTATATAGTTCAAACCATCTTAGCAAGCAAACCAAGCTGCCAACCCAGGGCGAACAAATCCAATGTGTGTCCTCTGATGCATTCTGGAGAAAATGCACCTATACAAATACATTTTTTTTTTGTCCGGCTCTTTTGCTGCAGCTCACGAGTTGGGCTCATGCCAACATTGACCTTATGTCAAGAGATGTGGTCGTGGGACATCTTCTGCGCAACTTGTCAGTGAGGAGGATGACGTCTTGCTGCACTCTGGAGCGTGCATGGCACTTCTGACATTCAACCGTGTTCCCCGTCCGATGCATCTGGTGCGTGGAGTGGCCATGCCAGCGATCGCTCGCTAGAGGGCCGTGATGGCAAACCTCCCCCAGGAACCTGTTGAAAATGTCCTCTCCTGCCCTAGCCAGCACGTAGGAACGACAGAGGTTGCAGCGTAAGTACGCTTTCTCCAACCGCAGGTGGTGTGTGCCCGGTTTGGCCTCCCCTTGGGACTCCAGGAGATCGTGTATGATCTCAAAACGGGTCTTCCTCTGGGTCTGACTGGGCACCGCCTGGGCACAAGGTGCAGTGAGGCCATCCTGAAGCTCCTTGATCAACGATTTGGTGTGAAATCGCACTCGACAGAGGCTGCATCGGACTCCTGATCTGTAGACCTCCCATTGGTGGCCATGTGCCTGGGGGTCTTTGAGAAAGCAGGCCAAAAGATCCTTCTTCTGCTGGACCATGGGGATCTTGGAGTTGTCCGCCATGGCTGACTTGTTGTGTAGAAAGTGTTCTTTGCAAGTGAGGAGGATGTTCATCCTGTTGCCTGCGACACTGAGGACATCTCGTGTGTCTTCATCGATGTGCTTCTGTAGGTCAATGATCTCTTCCGGCCTGGCAAGAAGTGCAGCTTGAGTGGCCTTCGCCTGTGTGTCCTGCTGAAAGGCCTTCCTGTTGAGGTTGGAGTCCATCTCACGTCGGCTGAAAAGGAGAAGGCGAACTTGATCAAAGTCTTCATGCTCCAAGCCCGCGCTGAGGTCTGGGAAATGGTCATGAGCCGGCATGAAGGACCAGTTCTTCCAAATGGAGTGCTGAAAAACGGCCACATGGACTTTGTCCCTGATGTGGAGGGAGAGGTGCTTCAATCCATAGAACAAAGCCCTGAGCCTGGTAGCCTTGCCCGGACAGATGCCAGTCAAAGATGCCACTCGTTCTTTGGCGAAGACCTGATGAATGCAAATGGCAAAAACATACCGGCGATGACGAGGGTCACGAGAGGTGGGAGCCACAGCCAGTGAAACCGCATGTCCAGCAGGCAGGCTGCAGGCTTCCAGATCGGCCCAGAGTCCTTCACCAGAGAAAGTAGCCATACCACCATCCTGGATGTAGAAGATGGACTGAGTCATCCCTCGGT